AGCCTGGCCAACATGGTGAAACCCCATCTCTACTAAAAATACAAAAGATTAGCTGAGTATGGCAGCAAATGCCTGTGATCCAAGCTACTTAAGAGGCTGAGGCAGGAGAATCACTTGAAACTGGAAGGCGGAGGTTGCAATGAGCCAAGATCGCGACATTGCACTCCAGCGTGGGCAACAAGGCAAGACTCAATCTCAAAAAAAAAAAAAAAAAAAAAAAAAAAAGCAAATGTTGATTGAGGTTAAAATATTGCAATTTATTCTGACTAAAGTATAAACATAAAATGAACAAACAGAAATTAGAACCTTTCCATTTTTAATTTATGGTATTTCGAGGGAAGGGAAGCAATTTCTCAGATCCTTTCTTATTGCAGGCTAGGCTTGCTTATTCTCAAATGGAGTTAAGCTAAGAATGGGTAAAAGCTAAGAAGATACTGTGTCCAATTTAGAAAATGTGTGTTTTGTTTTAGTTGAGGTGTATATCCGGTTTTATAAGCTACTGTTTGTTTGATTATTTTGAGACGGAGTCTCAATCTGTCACCCAGGCTGGAGTGCAGTGGCACGACCTCAGCTCATTGCAATCTCTGCCTGCAGGGTTCAAGCAATTCTTCTGCCTCAGCCTCCCGAGTAGCTGGACTACAGGTGAGCGCCACCATGCCTAGCTAATTTTTGTATTTTTAGTAGACACAGGGTTTTGCCATATTGGCCGGTCTGGAACTCCTGGTCTGGACCATATGGGCTGGTCTGGAACTCCTGACCTCATGATCCACCCACCGCAGCCTCCCAAAGTGCGGGGATTATGGTATGAGCCACTGCACCTGGCAATATTTTTAAAATAATTATTTGAGAGCATTGCTATATCACTTTTTAGAAAAAAATGTTTTTCTCCTCAGTTTATAGCTATTTGGTTTAAACATTTCATTTAATTTTCAGAAATTGTGCCAAACTCCTCTACCCCAACACAAAGCTCTAGATTAGGTGTATCTTAGGTGCTCCTCAAACTCCTGGCCACCCCATGCAGGCTTCTCCCAGTCTAGGTCCTAAGTCTCCATGAGAGCAGGAACTACTGAGTTTTGTTCACTGTGTACTTCCCAGTTCCTAGCTCAGTATCTGGTGCTCAAAAAATGTTCTTCAATAAATAGATGATAATAATATTGAAACGTTGTGTATATTTCTTTGATTAGTTAGTAACTACGAGTCGTTTATGGTGCGTATGTCAACTAGCAGAGAATAAAGAGCAGTTCTGCTCTCCATAAACATTTTTTAGGAGTTACTGTGCACCTTATTACAAGAAAAGTGGCCGGGCATGGTGGCTTACACCTGTAATCCCAGCACTTTGGGAGACTGAGAAAGGCAGATCCCTTGAGCCCAGGAGTTCGACAACCAGCCTGGGCAACATGGAGAAACCCCATCTCTACAAAAAAAAAAAAAAACATAAAAATTAGCCAGGTGTGGTGGTGTGGGCCTGTAATTCCAGTTACTTGGGTGGCTGAGGTGGGAGAATCACCTGAGCCCGGGAAGTCGAGACTGCAGTGAGCCATGATTGTGCCACTCACTGCAATCTAGCCTATCCAATGGAGTGCAACTCTGTCTCAAAAATAAAATAATAAAATAAAAGTTAGGCTATAAAAATAAAATTTCTATTAACATGGTCTTATTAAATACATACCGTAAGCCTGGGTGTGGTGGCTCACGCCTGTAATCCCTTTGGGAGCTGAGGCAGGCAGATCACTTCAGGTCAGGAGTTTGAGAACAGCCTGGCCAATATAGTGAAGCCCTGTCTCTACTAAAAATGAAAAAAATCAGCCGGGCATGGCTTGTGGGTGCCTCTAATCGCAGCTACTGGGGAGGCTGAGGCAGGAGAATCACTTGAACCTGCGAGGCGGAGGTTGCAGTGAGCTGGGACTGCACCACTGCACTCCAGCCTCAGTGAAAAGAACAAAACTTCATCTCAAAAAAATAAATAAATAAATAAATAAAACTAATACATATTGTATTTTATTTTTAATAAAGGGAACAAAGGGAAGCTTTCCCTTTTCCCTTAGAAGGCTTGCTGAAAAATTAACTGTCACAGTGGCTGATTAATAGGAAAAAAGACACACAAAATTTATTTTAACGTGCATAACAGGGAGATTGCAGAATGATTACTCTATAACTCAGTGGGGTAGAGACATTTATATACGCTTCTTTATAGGGAAAAGGGAGATTGGGGAAATGTAGCAACTTAAGGTACAGTAAATGACTTTTAGGGGAAAATGGGGAACATACAATGGCCTGAGAAAAACTGTTGGGCCCATAGAGCAGACAATATTTTGTGACGAAAGTCTGTCCAAGAGTGTTGACAGACTCGTCTTTGTTCCTCCAATATGAGTTAAGTTAACGAAAACTCTGATAAGGCAATTGCATTCTTCTTTGACAGGTCCAGTTTCTAGGTTGCGGGGGATCGGTCAGAGTGGTGGGAAAAACTACAGGGAAAGGATGCAAACCTGAAGGTCAGAAAGTTTTGCAGAGCCCCCAGGGAGAATAGCTGAAGGCAGCTGTTCTATAACCCTGAGGCAGAAGGCAAGGAGTAGGTACAAGAGAATGTAAGGGAATTTACCTTTTTTATTTTTTTTTTTAATTTTAAAGCCGGGGTTTCACCATGTTGGTCAGGCTGGTCTTGAACTCCCGACCTCAGGTGATCTGCTCACCTTGACCTCCAAAGTGCTTGAATTACAGGCGTGAGTCACCGCACCTGGCCCGGGAATTTATCTTAAACAGCAAGGATTAGGTACAAGAGAGTGTAATGGAATTTATCTTAAACAGGCTTGTTTGCTTATATTGACCAGGAACCGACCTTTGATAATCCACACACCTGACCTTTGAAAGGGGAACAAAAAATGTCAGTTACCTACAGGTGGCATTTGCTCCAGGTTTTCGGCATTGTGCCTGGACTGAATAAAAGCAAGCAGTTCCAGCTTCTGGGGCCTGCTCTCTGACCGCTAGAACCAGGCAGTCACCTACTGGTCTTACACTGCATACCTGTGTCTGAGTACTCATTTCATCCACTGGCCAGGGTCTGCGGGACAGACCTGGCAAGTCTAGACAGATAAGAGAAATTCAGAGAACGACTTCATTCTGTGCTTTGGGAGAGGCAAAGAATTGAGAGGCGGGAGGGCTAGTGGGGAAGGTAAGAGAGAGCTTGAGACTGCTTCCTCAGTTCAACTTGGCAAAGCCTCATATTTTGGGGGTATTGATTTCTGAACCTCAATAATGACATCATGTTCCAGACACATTTTATGACTTTTCTTCAATGCATACTTTTAAAAAACTCATCTTACTCTATTTTTCTAAAGGTATTTGCATTCACTGTGAAAAATACTAACGCTGTAAAGAGGAATATTTTGAAATATTAAGAATTATTTGGCCAGGCTCAGTGGCTCACGCCTGTAATCCCGGCACTTTGGGAGTCTGAGGCAGGTGGATCACAAGATCAGGAGTTCAAGACCAGCCTGGCTAAGATGGTGAAACCTCGTTTCTACTAAAAACAGAAAAATTAGCCGGGCGTGGTGGCAGGTGCCTGTAATCCCAGCTACTCAGGGGGCTAAGGCGGGAAATTGCCTGAAGCCCGGAGTCGGAGGTTGCAGTGAGCCGAGATCATGCCATTGCACTCCAGCCTGGGTGACAGAGCAAGACGACTTTTCAAAAAAAATTTTTTTTTTGATTTATTTTTTAAGACAGCGTTTTTCGCTCTTGTTTCCCAGACTGGAGTGCAATGGTGCGATCTCCACTCACCACAACCTCCGACTCCTGGGTTCAAGTGATTCTCCTGCCTCAGCCCCCTGAGTAGCTGGGACTACAGGGGCGTGCCACCACGCCCAGCTAATTTTTCGTATTTTATAGTGGAGACAAAGTTTCGGCGTGTTAGCCACGATGGTCTCGATCTCCTGACCTTGTGACCCACCCGCCTCAGTCTTCCCAAGTGTTGGGATTACAGGCGTAAGCCACTGCGCCCGGCCAAAAAAAAATTATTTATATTTAAGTGTAAAAAAAGTGATTTTTTTTTTGAAATTAAATTTTAAATTCAAGTAGTTTTGGGGTTTTTATATAAGATGTATATATATACAGATATAGATAGATAGATATGTTCATTTCTATTAACATCGATGTGCTAATGTTCATATGTGTTAATATTAACAAAGGTCCTAGGATTAAATTTATTCTGAAATAGACTCCTAGGATTGTGAAAGTTTGTGGTTAGTCTGGCAAAAGACCCATTTAGGGGAATATCTTTATTTTAAAAATTTTTGTTTTTTGCTGTCTCTTGATCTCCCGCCTCACACATCCCACTTTATTGACATTATAGAAAAAAATTGATTCATTTCAACAGCATTTTTACTTACACTGTTTCTTAGCAGTGAGCGCTCAGGTCAATCACTGCTTTCTTAGGTTTACAAACTGGGTATGTGTTTATAAACACAAGTTGTTTTGTACATCCTTTGTAGAGCAAGTGGTGAAAGTGACACAGGAATAAAAGCAAGCCTTTTTTTCCCTTCTTTTTTTAAAGACATAAACCTAGGAACACTCAGAGCCGCAGAAGGGGGTTTGGTGGACAGACAAACAAACTGCCACAGAAATGAAGCATGGATAAATAAGCTCAAAGGAATTTATGCAGTGTTCTATTTCAAGATTTGTTTCGGGGACGTCCGCCACGCCCTGGCCGCCTTCACCAGGCCGGGCAACACTGCCCAGTCCCTGAGACCCGGCCGCCCACTAGAGAGCCGCGGGGGCGAGGCCGTGGGAGTGGACTGCGGGAGGAGGTCCCGAGAACCACACTTCCCAGAGTGCCGTGCGCAGCCCTGCCCCGCCCTGCCCCGCCCCCGGAGGCCGCCGCTTGCTGGGGCTTTGGTGAGAGGACGCCAGTCGCCCGCCAGGGCTCCGCGGGGTCGTGCAGGAGAGCGCGCGTCTGCCGGGTGCTCGAGCGGTTCTGTTGAGGTGCCGCTGAGGGCGGCCGGGTGACTCGGCTGCAGCCTTAGCGACTCCAGGAAGAACCGAGCAGAGGGTCGAGGATCGAGGTAACGGGACGCTCGTGTCCCCTCAGTCCCTTTCTTCTTTGTGCAGTGCCGTCCGCTCACGCAGAGCCCTCCCTCACCCCAGCCCCAAGTCGCAACACGGTCCCGTCTCGGGTCACTGGCGTGCGGAAGGAAACTCGAGCCCTCGTGCAGCAGCCGAAACTCCGCAGCTGAGAGGGCTTGGGGCCCGGACAGCGAGCGCTCCAGCCCCCGACCTCCCTTGCACCGCTTCTGTCGCCCGGTTGGCGGGAGAAGCAGGGTTATGCTCCCGTCTCCCGGAGGGCAGCCCCAGCCTCTGGCTCCGTCAGCCTCGCCTGCTGCTCCTTGGCTCCCTCCTCCCCGTCTTTCGAAGTGGGGCCCAGACGGATGCTTCGCGGGGCCAGGGCGAGGGCAGGCACGGTGCGGCTGGCGCGGGTTCGGGGCCCCAGGGAGGGTGGCCGGACGCCCCCAGGAGCCGCGGCCTGCGGGGGGGCGGGGCGAGTGGGCCACGCCGCGCGGGGACGAGGCGGGGAAGGCACTGCCTGTCCCCACTCGGGGGGCTTGCTGGCCACGCTGGGGGCGCCTTCCCGGGCGCGGCGGTGTGGACTTTGTGGAGAGCGTCTCTAGGTGTGGAACCGGGAACCGCAGCCCTCTTTGCAGCCGCGCCGCCGCCGGGTTGAGCTGTTGTTACCGCCGGGATGACAGCTCCTCACGCCTTCCACTCGGTGCCGGGCTCAGCAGCTTGCTGGTTTCTTCAGAGAGCGCGATTTGGCTACATAGCTTGCATTTTCTACGTGCCTCGTGCTTTCCTGGACTTGCGCTGTGTTTCCCTCTTGGCAGTGTTGAATCGGGTGATTTTTCATAGAAAATGTTGAGTATTCTTTCATCTGTGTTAATGACATAACTTTATTTTTGACTCTTTGCCCTAAGCTAATGTTACCAGTTTAGAGGCATACTTTGGGAAAAGGTCCTTAGAACCTGAGTTGATACAAGTATCTTATCTGCTGGTTGCACGTTTTCCCCTTTGCATTGTTTTTGTCCTACCAGATGGTAAGTGTTGGACTCGGTGTTCTTGATTCTCTCCCTAGAAGGAAATCCTGTTCCCGCATCCTTCTCGTGTTTTGGCCCAGCGGTACTCTTGGGCGCGCAGAGGACTGCTGCTAAACACTGCTGGCGCCTGGAAAGCTGCTTGGAGATGGTGGTGGCTTTAAGCTGCTGCTTTTCCTCAGACTTCCTCCTGGCGCCCTCCTTAATTTGTCATTCTTTCTTTCTTTTTTTTCTTCTTTCTTTCCAAAGAAGAACTTAATTTGTCGTTCAAGCTGACTGACCCACTTCAGACTTCAAACTTTAGTCACTTTATTAGTCACTTTAAAAAATTGCTTTTAGGCCGTGCGCGGTGGCTCACGCCTGTAATCCCAGCACTTTGGGAGGCCGAGGCGGGTGGATCACGAGGTCAAGAGATCGAGACCATCCTGGTCAACATGGTGAAACCCCGTTTCTACTAAAAATACAAAAAATTAGCTGGGCATGGTGGTGCACGCCTGTAATCCCAGCTACTCAGGAGGCTGAGGCAGGAGAATTGCCTGAACCCAGGAGGCGGAGGTTGCGGTGAGCCGAGATCGCGCCATTGCACTCCAGCCTGGGTAACAAGAGCAAAACTCCGTCTCCAAAAAAAATTAAAAATAAAAAAATAAAAAAATAAAAAATAAGAAAGTTCGGTAAAATTTGATCTCACCTACTTTTTATTTTTTTTAGAGCAGTTTTAAGTTCACAGCAAAACTGAGTGGAAGATACGGAGATTTGCCATGTATCTCCTACCCCTACAGAGCCAAAATACCTCATTAGAGTGATCTGCATATTACAATTGACAAGCCTATATTGACGTACCATTATCACATCCACAGTTAGGGTTCAGTCTTGGTGTTAAACATTCTGTGGGTTTGGACAAATAACCCTTTTGTTTTATCAAGAACTTTTGAGAGCTGTAGAGAACTGAAATGGATGTTGTCATTTTAAAAAGATTAAAGAGACTGTTGCAGACATCTTAAACATTAATTTCAGAAGTTTTTGAGTTGTGTAAATTGAATGTTTAAATTTTTGGTTACTTATAGTGAAATTCTCAAAAGAGTCACATTTTTATTTGTATATTAAGAACTAAAGGGCTCCGCATGGTGACTCACACCTGTAATCCCAGCCATTTGGGAGGTCAAGGCAGGAGGATCACTTGAGTCCAGGAGTGTGAGACCATCCTGGGCAACAAAGTGAGACTCTGTCTCTATATTCCAAAAAAAAAAAAAAAAAAAAAAGAGACCAGGCTTGGTGCCTCATCCCTGTAATCTAGCACTTTGGGAGGCCAAAGCAGGCCAATTGTTTGAGCCCAGGAGTTCAAGACCAGCCTGCACAACATGGCAAAACCCTATCTCTACAAAAAAAAAAAATACAAAAATTAGCCACACATGGTGATATACACCTGTGGTCGCAGCTACTCAGGAGGCTGAGGTGGGAGGATCACCTGAGTCCAGGGAGGTTGAGGCTGCAGTAAGCCATGATTGCACCACTGCACTCCAGCTTGGGTGACAGAGTGAGACCCTGTTTAAAAAAAAAAAAAAAGAGATGAGGGAGGATAAATGCTTTGTAAAATAACAAAATGTTGGCCGGGCGCGGTGGCTCAAGCCTGTAATCCCAGCACTTTGGGAGGCCGAGGCGGGTGGATCACGAGGTCGAGGGATCGAGACCATCCTGGTCAACATGGTGAAACCCTGTCTCTACTAAAAGTGCAAAAAATTAGCTGGGCATGGTGGCACGTGCCTATAATCCCAGCTACTCAGGAGGCTGAGGAAGGAGAATTGCCTGAGCCCAGGAGGCGGAGGTTGTGGTGAGCCGAGATCGCGCCATTGCACTCCAGCCTGGGTAACAAGGGCGAAACTCCGTCTCAAAAAAAAAAAAAAAAAAAAAAAAAACAACAAAATGTTGTTTTCAATGACTAAAATTCATTTGACGATGTGTTTTTTCTGAACAAAATGTTTTGTGTTAATCAGTGAAGCAAGAGGGAATTAAGCAGTTTAAATAAATTAATTTTCATTTACTCATGTCAAGATATGTCTACTACAATAAAAACGTCACCCATTAGTCTATTTTTTAAAATTCTGTTTTCTCTGTTTTGAGGGGCTTTTATGGAAGCATCAGATTATAATAATGTTCTGAGCTCACTTCTGGAACTACGCAGTTCTTTATTAGAATCCCAGCTCTCCACTTGCTGGCTGTATGAGCATGGCAAGTTATTTTCCCTCTTTCCTTAGCTGTAGAAGGGGGATAAAAATGATACATACTTCTATCTTACCAGAATTGTTGTGAGGATTATTTGGTATTGTATGTGAAAGCACTTTGTAAACTGTAATCAACTATAATATTCATTGATGTTGCTAGTCACATGTTATATTTTAAAATGTTAGTATAATTTATTTACTGGTGGATATTGCTATGTAAATAGTGTCAGTTTCTTTCTTTCTTTCTTTCTTTTTTTTTTAAATGGGTTGACCATGCAAGAAAGTGTGTTGTTTGGTTTGGTTATGAATGATTTGGTTGGTTCTTGAGAATCAGAGAATTCTGGAAGAGGTTTGTAGGGACCTTGGGAAATTTTCTACTTCATCTCTCTGATTGCTAACCTGCATCTGTGAGTGTGCCCATAAATGGTCTTCCAAGGGTCTGTGCACTCTGTATATTTATACTTTTCTGGGGAGAAATTAAATGAAAATTTGTACTTTTCTGGGGATAAATTAAAAGAGCCTCATAACATTGTTCCCACTAAAGGTTTAGAAAACCACTAGCTTCATTGATCTAGGCAGGTTTCTTTAGTAACAATGTTAGAGATTATTATTTTTTTCTTTTCTTTCTTTTTTTTTTTAAAGACGGGGTTTCACCATATTGGTCAGGCAGGCTAGTCTTGAACTCCTGACCTCAGGTGATCCACCCGCCTTGGCCTCCAAAGTGCTTGGATTACAGGTGTGAGCCACCACGCCCAGCCAGAGATTATTTTTAAAATTAGTTTTTGGTTTTTGCGTGTGTGTGGCGGGGGTGTAGGGTAAGGAAAGAAAACGGGTCATTTTTGAAGCACTGTGTGCCTGTTTTTCTTCCAAGGCTAGAAGTTGATATTCATGATGTACTACCTTCATGTGAATAATAGTGCTGCTACTTCTACCTGGAAGTGATATCATTGATTGATTACTTATAGTTAGGCAGATATCGTCTACTCCTTCTTCTTCCCCACCCACAGCCTTGATGGGCAATAGAATGGTGGCAGAGAATGGCACTTTAATACAATCCAGCATGTCAGAATATTATTTAAAATGCCAAAAGTTAATTTGGCTTGTTTATTCTAAAATTTGGATGATCTGTTTTCGCAACAAAACACCCAGTGCTAAAGAAAATTAAGTATTTAATCTTTCAAACTAGATGATATGTACACAAGTCTGTTGTATAATATTTCTAATGTATCATAAGAGTACAAAATTAAATCCTAATTGATCACTGACTTACTATTGCTAGTGTGGAATGAATATGGATATGTATGTTTTCAAGAAATTTACAGTTTGCTTTTATAGGTTATATTATAATTTTGATTTTAATTTGTAACATTTAAAACTTATTTGCCTTTTTGGAATTTCTGAATCACATATAGTTCTAAATCTGAGTTCATTCTTAAAAGAGTTTGGAATTTTGCCCTGTTTTCTTTGTATAGTGATTGCTGGGCTATAAGGCTTTAGAGTGTGAAACCAAGTTCTGTTTCTGGATCAGTTACCAATAGCATACACAAGGTTGGGAGAGTATGAGGTGAATCAAGTGATGCTACGCAAACTTACGAATGAAACTGTCCATTAAGTAATATTGTCTTTATCCTTGAGATCTTTTTCCTTTCATATTAATATTTTCATTTAAAATTGAAATGTTTTTCAAAGTTCAAGGTTCTAAACCAATATTTGGGAATTTATAGAATAAAGTAGCAGAAGTGTGGTTCTTTTTAAAAA